CTGCCACATGTGAGTTGTTCCTTCGCTTCCATATGCAGCACGTAGCTCTACGCGACACGCTCACCGTCGCCTACATTCTCCTCGACTTCCTCATGCACCCGAAGTACTCTCTTTTTGGGTAAATAGGGAAAACCCAAACCGGAATTTTTGGGTACCAGATTTGTCCGGTTTGGAACAGTTCGGGAAATTATCGGGTGGCAGGTCTAAAAACCAGGATTATAAAAAATTTGAATAAACTGACCCAAAATTTTGGGTAAACCCAAATGCCCACCTTGGTGCCTTTTGCCGTATATATAAAGGCAAGGGAAGCTCCTCGTTGAGCTTCTTATCCATCGAAGAAAAAAGACAGACTGAAACTTTAAGACTGAAACATGCCCATTTTTTATTAGTGGTAAGTAAGATAGGTTGCTTAGTAGATCCTTAGATCGTGGGAGGAAAAGGCATAAAAGTGAGCCCACCCGACTAAAGAGGAGAAATTCGGAACTTCAAAATAATCGAAGAGTTGTGAGGGCTTATAACCCCAGGAAATACACTTCACGTTATCTTTTTCCTGGTCAAGTCGCACGGAGCAAGATATAGATGCTCCCGTTGGGAGGACGGTTTCAGTTGTTTTTTCAATTTATGCTCACTTTTCTACTTCGGCATTTTGTTATCTGATTGTTTTTGATAAAAAATGTTCAACAATTTTGAAAAGGTTTACATATTTTTATAAATCTTGATTTTAGAAATGACCATAGGTATAAAAAATTGCCAAAACTAATAAAAAATCACATATTTAGATAAATCTTTCTTAAACTCTAGATAGTATTCACGAATTTTAAAAATGATCTGAAATTTTTACATAAATCATTACTTTCTGGAAAGTGTTCACAAATTTAAGAAATGTTTGTGAATATAAAAAAATTGAGAATTTTTTTAAAAAAATCAATACTTTTTAAAAGGTTTTCATGAATTCAATTATGTTCATGAATTTAAAAATATTTACATAGTTTTTCTAAATCACCAATAGAAAAATGTTCACTATATCTAAAACGTTTCTGAATAAAAAATGATCATGATATCTTAATGCGAATAGAAAAATATTCACCAATTAAAGTTATGTTCATAAATTTGAAAAATGGTCTGGAATTACAAAAATATTCCGAATAGAAAAAATGTTCCCAAATTTTGAAAAGGTTCAAGAGTCTTTATAATAATGTGTAAAAATATAATGTGTCCTACATTTTAAAAATATTCTTGAATTTTAAAAATATGTTGAAAGTGAGCAAATTATTCATGAATCTTTAAAAACAACTTAAAATTAGATTAAAAAGGAGAAAGAGACAAATAAAAAGGGAAAC